TCACCAGTTTCCTCTCGTCTGATGTACACCAGTTTCCTGTCGTCTGATGTGCACTGTTTGTTCACCAGTTTCCTCTCGTCTGATGTACACCAGTTTCCTGTCGTCTGATGTGCACTGTTTGTTCACCACTTTCATCTCGTCTGATGTACATTGTTTATTCACCAGTTTCCTCTCGTCTGATGTACACTGTTTGTTCACCAGTTTCCTGTCGTCTGAGGTACATTGTTTATTCATTAAGTTTATCCTATTTAAGGTACACTGACCGCCAGATTTACCCTATATAAGGTACCCTGTTCATCAAGTTTATCCTACTTAAGGTCCCCTGTTCACTAGTTTTTTTTCATTACAAGATATATGGTATGGATTATGTGTTCTCAATCTTTCTTCACTTAAGACTCATTTGCAAAACTGGTGGCGAGTCGCGACTAATAAATATATTTAGAGCGAACCACACCTGGCTTGATAAGTTCTTACTAAACAAATAAATATATTCAAAATGCATAGACTGTTAACTATTTTCAGTGTGTGTTTGAGACCATTTCAGTCATTGTAACAACCCGATTTTTGGTCGCGACCCATGGGTTGAAAAACTGGTATAGACAAAAGCAACATTAAATTATTTGATAAGAAGGATCAAGTCCATTGAGATATTTTCAGAACCATAGCGTTATATCCGTGAAGCTGAGATTAATACATAACCTTCGTTGGTAACACGAATTTTGTGTCATTTCCAGAAAACAAAATAAAAGAGACCACGTTTCTGGGATGTGTATGAGTCTACCTCTAAGTACCATATCCAAACAGGTAGTTTATATAGGTGAACATCAACTAGAAGGCAGTCATGTAGGAGAAAAACATCAACTAGAAGGCAGTCATATAGGAGAACATCAACTAGAAAGCAGTCATGTAGGAGAAGAACATCAAATAGAAGACAGTCATGTAGGAGAAGTGCATCAACAAGATGACAGTCAACTAGGAGAAGGACACCAACAGAATGACGGTCAACCAGAAGAAAAATATAAACTAGAAGACAGTCATATAGGAGAACATCAACTAGAAGCCAGTCATATAGGAGAACATCAACTAGAAGACAGTCATATAGGAGAAGAGCATCAACTAGAAGGCAGTCATATAGGAGAAGAGCATCAACTAGAAGGCAGTCATATAGGAGAAGGACACCAACAGAATGACAGTCAAACAGAAGAAAAACATAAACTAGAAGACAGTCATATAGGAGAAGAACATCAACCAGAAGCCAGTCATATAGGAGAACATCAACTAGAAGGCAGTCATGTAGGAGAAGAACATCAACTAGAAGGCAGTCATGTAGGAGAAGAACATCAACTAGAAGGCAGTCATATAGGAGAAGAAGATCAACTAGAAGGCAGTCATATAGGAGAAGAACATCAACTAGAAGCCAGTCATACAGGAGAAGAGCATCAACTAGAAGGCAGTCATATAGGAGAAGAACATCAACTAGAAGAAAGACACCAACAGAATGACAGTCAACCAGAAGAAAAACATCAACTAGAAGACAGTCATATAGGAGAAGAACGTCAACTAGATGTCTGTCTACTAAGAAAGATATTTGTTGGACAATATTTGTTATAACGGTTCGGTAATAATCTGTATAGTACTGTATGTCCACTAAGAAATATATGTAGTTTCTTAATTACGAAACATAACTTACATACGTACTAGATCAAACATGCTATAGTATAAATATGGGTTTTATATCTATTTTTAAGAAAGGCCATTGTTCTCAGACACAAGGGTTTACAAAGATACTTTTTAATTCAAAATTATTGACTGATTAAATTGCAGAAAGACAAATATCTACATACCAATGAGAAAATATTCCATTAAGGGCCATATCTTCTGTCTTCCAGTAGGTATCGCTGTCGTACTTGCACTTTTGGCCACCACAGAACATCGAACACTGCACATCTAGTGGCGTTGTCTGGCGGATTTTCTCAGAAATTTTATTGTACCTGTAATGATAATAATTTCTTTTTCTTACACAAATGCAAAGCCTTGAAAGGTCACGTCACTTCCTGCTAAATTCGAGTTATCATTAACCACTTTTATAGGATAATTATTTAATTTTCCTATGAAGAACATGGACTTATTTGTAATACATCAAGCTTCAGAGTAACTTAATTTTATTTTAAATTAAGCTCCAGGATAATGCAGTTTTTTGTTTTAAACAGGTTTTTTATCCTTGTCAACCACAATAAGTAAATAGCTATAATACTTTATAAACCACTCAACAAAACAACACAGCGGGTATCTTTCAGGTAACTGTAAATACAACTGTCAAACAAACCACTAAATATAAAAGGCCTATTCCCTTTGTCACTCTATCGAGAACGCTTTCACACTCCTTTTTTGGTAATGCTCAACAATATACATCGTCGCTTAGCAACAATACTATCACTTGATTGTTCTTAGATCAACTATGGTGTTTATGTTGAATGCTCAATATTCATGTTGACTTGTTAGAAAGCTTTGTTTTTATTCTTTATTTTCTATAAGTTCGGTGATATAACAGCAAAATAGTTTAATTCAGAGGTTTTATGGCATTGAGTTGTAGCTAAAAGCAAAATAAAATTTACCAAGTAGTGTTTCAGCTAACGCCTACGCTACGTTTATGTATTAGGCCTGTTACGACAGCGGAAGTCACGTGACCCTGGTAACACGTCATGAGTTTCTAGAAGGATCATGACTTTTCCTGGCAACTCTAGTCTGTTCTAGGCGCCCCCTTTTTTAGTATATAAGTCCGGCAAATAAAGCAGAGTTATGGTTGCAGATAGATAGAGATAATCTAGTCAAGCCGTAAGTAAAATGTGTGAATCACTGTAATTTATAGCGTGTGTTCATAAAAGTAGTCAAGTTTAAAGTGACAATGGAAATTCTGTGTATTGGAAAGTTGTATCGAGAAAGAATAAACTAGTTTTAATTAAGAAAGGACCTGTATCGCTGAAGTTTCTCGGAAAGAATTTATACCGGAAATTAACAAACGACCAAATACGCAACAGGCCTAATACTTAAATTAGACTACAAATAGGCCTACTATTACTGACGTTATAGAGTCAGTTTTTAAAAAGTTTTAAGTGTTGAATAAATGTTAATTAATAAATATTCTTTTGGTATTTTAACACATATATTATCAACCTGGCCTTAAAACATAAAGAAAAATAAACGTTTATTACTACCAAATATCTTTTATCCCTTGTACAGTCGAAAAAGTTGAAAATTTGTGTCGGAATGTCCGCACTATGTTTTATACTTCCTGACCTAGAATACAGTAAAAAGGCTCAAGAGTGTTATTTAAATCACTTTCAGAGTGCACACGTATTTTTGTTCACGATAACATTTCATTTTTCTGCGTAGTTTTTACTAAAAATTTGGTGATTAAAAAAAATACTTCATTTTTGACGGGTTTTTATAACTGGTCCACTATATAAAGACGAAAAGCCGTCCGTCTGTCACGCGGATATCTCGGTCGTTGCGGTATCGATCGACACGCAACCTGCACGAAACGCCGCCGCTTTCTCCGTAACATGCAAGTTTGACAAAAAGTCATGATATCTAATCAAAAACACCTAAGGTGTGGCAAAAAAAAAAAAGGATTGAGTGTGCGGCTTAAAGGAATGAAATCAGAATTGGCGACCAAACTGGTAGCTACACTTATAACAAATATTCATTTTTTAGTTTGTACTTAGATGTATTTAAAGTTGAGGAATTATTTAAAGCAATTTCAACAATTAATTTGGTGAATTATTACTTTTGTTATACTTAATTATACTTAATTTATTGCCAAGGTTAGAATACGAAACGAAATCGTTAAAAAGATCTAGGAATCCAACATATGTCGTGACGTAACACCGATAATTATGGTGTCATAAACATATTCGTTATTTGATGACGAGGAACCCACTTTGAGACTAATAATGGCTGGAGACGACTTGAATGGGTAATGAAGAAAAACTTTAATATAACAGCAAATGTACAACGTTTCGACAAGGTTTTGTTAAACTTATATTAAAGTTTTTCTTCATTACCCATTCAAGCCGTCTCCAGCCATTATTGACGATATTTATAGAAACACTGATTCACTTAGAAAATGGTTCAAGTCCTGTCTCGGTTTGAGACAGCAAGAACGTGATGAAACTGCGAACTATAATTCTGTTGACACTGTTTGACATAAACAAAGTGTTGGTGATGGAATATTAAACAGTCATAAACTGTTTATAGGCGGTTCAGCCAACATTAAGAAATGAAACATAAATCTTTTCGTGAACTAGTTAAGATATCGGATTCGACTAAAGTCTGCTATTTCTTCACAGTTTATGGGTTCATGAAAACAGTCAAACCTCAACGTTAAGCTTAAGCCTTGTCGATTCAGCTGTTTCATTGCCTATACCATTGCAATGCAAGATCCCTTTTACAAAACAGTGTGTCTTGAATATATGTTATTAGTTTAAAAAAAGGCCAACCTTGTTTTTTAATGAGTCAAGGTAAGTTTCAACCCAGAATTAGTTGATATAATACTTAATAAACTCTTACCAAATCTTAATCTTCTTCTGTTAAACATAAACAATTTCATTTACTACTCGTAACAGTATGTATAATACGTCACTTTGTAAATGGTGCCGAAGATTGGTCCCTTACGATTTTTGTTTGCTCCTATTCTACGACTATAAAACATGCGAGGCACACAATGTTAACATTTTTAAGAAACAAAAATATATGTAGAACTGGTCTGTATTGGTAAAACAAAGGAAGGTGTGGTTTCATCAAATGAAAAAAAAAAAAGATATTGCATGATCAGCTACCAGTTGCACACTGGAGGTAAAGAAAATCAAACAGCTCATCAGTGGAAATATATCTAAAAACTTAGCAGCTAAAGTAGAAAGTTTTCTTTGAACTGTAAACAAGACAAATCACAAGGATTTAGCTCTCTAAATGCAGCACCAGTAGTTTTTCATAAGTTCCTCTCAAATTACATAGTTGAACAGATGCCCATCTGTCAAAGGATATACAAGGGATATCTGGCATGTGAAAAAAAAAATGAATTATTTCATCACATCGAACGAATGACATCTCTTGTAATACATCAACGTAAGTTCGGGCAACATAATATCATCTACCTGGTGTTACAATATTTCAAAAATTGTACAGACCATGACACGAGTGTTTCGAAAGGATTTGTGGTGGTTGATGGTTACAGCTGTAAAGGTAAGTTACGTGAGGGTCGGGATACAATGTCTCAAGGTGTTCTCTGTTATAGTATATAACTAACATGCTAACATCGATATGCTGAGAGGAATTATGTAATCTTTGTACGAATTACATACCACTAATGTATGGTTCCAATAAGACAAAGTATCACACCACATGTCCAAGATGCTGACATCATTATATCACAAAACATTTTGGTATAGGATGGATACCAATGAGGTACGTTTCATCAAGAAAAAGCATCTAACCCACTTGTCCAAATAAATATGCACCTTCCTCCACGTGATGCAAGTATAAACAAGAATCCACAGTATACCATCTCTTAAGAAGTTTTGCTATTGTGAACAGACATGCATGACTTAATGGTCATCGTGCCAGATTGTGAAAATACAATGGTTCATGGTTCTGGTCCTGTTGACACAAAATCGCGCTTCATCTAGGGGCTATGGTTGAGTTACAAGAGTGGTGGGCGAATTGGACTATTCGAATATAGTAGCCCACGAGTCAGTGGAGGGTACCGTTGACTAGCTGTCTTACTTCTGTCTGTCAACTCAAAGATGTTGACTGGCTGTCTTCCCTCTATCTGTCAGCTCAAAAATAGAAACAGCCCTTGTGGAGATTTGCATGAATATCCAGAAGAACAAAAAACAAATAATATGAGTTGCTTAAACAGTCCTCAGAAGTCCTTATCTGCTCACTGTTAATGAAAATTGAAAAGTATATAAAGACAGTCGACTCAAAACTAATGCAAATTCAGTACATAAAAACCTTGTGCAGTGGAAATTGCCCTGTAAAGCAAACGCCTATTATCATAATGTAGAACACCATAAGCGGTAGAAGAAGGACTGTAAGACCTTGGCACTCATCCTTGGATCAGCCCATAACCAGGACCATCACACAGAACACCATCAGTAGTGGAAGAAGAACTGTAAGAATCGGGAAATCATCCATGTGTCGGTTCATAGCCAGAATTATCACCCAGAACACCATCGGTAGTGAAAGAAGAACTGTAAGAATCAGGGAATCATCCTTGTATCGGTTCATAGCCAGGATCATCACCCGGAACACCATTAGCAGTGGAAGAAGAACAGTAAGAATCAGGAAATCATCCTTGTATCGGTTCATACACAGGATCATCACCCGGAACACCATTAGCAGTGGAAGAAGAACTGTAAGAATCAGGGAATCATCCTTGTATCGGTTCATAGCCAGGGTCATCACCCGGAACACCATTAGCAGTGGAAGAAGAACTGTAAGAATCGTCAAATCATCCTTGTATCGGTTCATACACAGGATCATCACCCGGAACACCATTAGCAGTGGAAGAAGAACTGTAAGAATCAGGGAATCATCCTTGTATCGGTTCATACACAGGATCATCACCCAGAACACCATTAGCAGTGGAAGAAAAACTGTAAGAATCAGGGAATCATCCTTGTATCGGTTCATAGCCAGGGTCATCACCCGGAACACCATTAGCAGTGGAAGAAAAACTGCAAGAATCATTAAATCATCCTTGTATCGGATCATCACCCAGAACACTATTGGTAGTGAAAAAAGGACTGTAAGACTTAGGCATTCATCCTTATATAGGTCGATTACCAGGACTACTCTTGTAATGAGCATCCTTCTGTGGAATCCTAATCTTAATCTGTTAAAGGTTAAGCTTAATATCCTTCATAAAAAATAAACAAAACTAAATATATAATTTATCTTCATGAAGAAAAAATATTTTTTTTTATATTAAACACAGTAAAAATTAAACTCCTAAATCTGTATATTGAAATCATGGAACTAACATTTATTCATAAAACCTGCACTAAAATAAACGTTAAGCTAAGTTGCATTTATAGGTTTTGATGCACATGTGTTAAGGACTAAGTTTTAGTCTTGTGTTTTTAATCCAAGATTTACAGTTTTACGTTTTCACTAAAAAACTATTTTTTTAGTTTAAAATGTTTGTTACAACTTTTGTCTTTATGTTTCAGAGCAAAAAAAATAAACTCTTGTATTTTCGTGTGTTCAAATCATGAAGTTTTATGCTTCAATGGAGAGAGACTGTATTTAGCTCTCTGAATTTTTACAAAGGAACTTAATTCTACAGAGGTTAAGTACGATATATTAAAATGGTTTTGAAGCCTTAATACGTCGTTAAGTTTCATATTGCCACATATTGTCATGTCTATCTGACGACAGTGCATGTTGACAATAGTCCTACAATGTAGTTTTCATTGCACAAAGCTTCGTTTTCAGGCTGTAATTGCAAGCGCACAACCTTTCTCTCTGTAGTTATATCTTATCTATCTAGTGTACAGAAGTGATAGTTTCCCAGCACCCTTTTCAACATTCTGATCAGAAATTCACAGGTGTTGCGTCCAGTGACATAACAGGTATATCTTCATTTCCCAGATTGAGGTATGTGACAGTTGAATTTATATTTTATGGAAACAGTTTGTATGCACGTGACTTGTGTCTGTTTCTCCAGACAGATTATGTTACTTGGACGGCTTTCTGCTACTAAAGGTCATTTTCTGAATGGTCCTGGTGCACCAAGTTGATCCATAAGCAACACTTACATGGGAAATTCTAAATACCCGACCTGAACATATATTTAAGATTGCAATGTATGAATACTTTATGTAGAAAAGGACAGTTTCATACCTTTCCCAAAATTGACCAATTGTTGGACATATCACACTACCTACTAAATTCTAAACAATCCCAAAATTTATAATGCCTATGGTTACCGCGTGAATTGCTGATTCGCATATTCAAAATCATCTTTAATATAACTATTCAATCCTGTGTATTTCAGAGGCCAACTATAACTGTCGTATTATATCTCCCTTCTAATGATGTTATTTTTGTGTTCAGTTCACCAGGAGTACTATTTACAGCCCTTTTAATGCTGTTATTTTGTGTTTAGTTTACCAGAAAAATTTTATTGTCCATACAAAGCTGTTATTTTTGTTCGATTGAAAGAAGCATTGTGCATCATCCTATCCTACATTGACAGCATATCACTAACTATAAAAGGCTCTATTCGTTTTGTCACTCCGTCGAGAACGCTTCCGCGCTCCTTTATTTTTGGTAATTCTTAACAATGTATATCGTCGCTTAGCAACAAATCTATCACCTGACTGTTCTTAGGCCAACTATGGTGCATATGTTGAATGCTCAACATTCATGTTGATTTGTTAGAAAGGTTTGTATTAATTCTTTTTATATATATATATAACTTCGGTGACATAACAGCAAATAGATTAATTCAGAGGCTTCATGACATTGAGTTGTAACCAAAAGCAAAATAAAACTTACCAAGTAGTGTTTCAGCTAAGCCTTACGTTACGTTTTTGTATTAGGCTACAAACAGGCCTACTATTACTGACGTTATAGAGTCAGTGTTTAAAAAGTTTTAAGTGGTGAATTAATGTTCATTAATAAATATTCTTTTGGTATTTTAACACATATATAATCTACTTGGCGTTAAAACCTAAAGAAAAATAAACGTTTATTACTACCAAATATCTTTTATCCCTTGTACAGTCGAAATAGTTGAAAATTTGTGTCGGAATGTCCGCACTATGTTTTATACTTCCTGACCTAGAATACAGTAAAAAGGCTCAAGAGTGTTATTTAAATCACTTTCAGAGTGCACACGTACTTTTGTTTACGATAACACTTCATTTTTCTGCGTAGTTTTTACTAAAAATGTGGTGATTAAAGAATTACTTCGAGACTGATGAAGGAAGTGAAGAGTTGGTGTATCTTGGAGGTACATACAAATTTGTTTTAGTTAAATTCAATAATTTTCGTTAATCATTCAACAATGATTTCTCGTCATTTTTGACTGACTTTAATACATAGTCCACTCTGTTAAATAAAATATACTTGTTCGGCTAAAACGCGAAACCACAATTACTTTACTAAACTGATGTAAATTGTTACTGTCAAAGTAAGATTCACATACTTTTAATCAACTCCTATGCTAGTAATAAGAATCAAAACCTTGTATTTTTACCTATTATTATAATCAGTACACGAACTGTTAGGTAGATTGGCCAGGTTCCAGGAAAGTTGTGTAATCGTTCATGAAACAAGAAAAAACAAGTAACTTACCGCGCAGATGGCGGATGACCGCACGTGATGGAATGACGTCCAACAGCTGTGACAGGTGGTAATGCACTCTCCAAGTCCTTGTTCATCGTTCATTCTGTGATGAAAATTCAGAACATATATATTTTATTACAAACACGTGCATACGCGTGTGTGTGTGCGTATGGAAAGCATTTATGTTTTTAACAGTATTAAGGAAATAACGTCTAACGACACGTGACGTATCTTTTTTTTTTGCTGTTGTTGTCAAATTAGAACGTGCCAGTACCGCAATCTCGTACACTACAAATCGAAGTGTCACACTTGTACAAGCTAAGGATCTAGTACGGATCCGGGGTTGTAGATTCGTCGTTATACACGTACTGTACGAGCTGGATATGAATGTTAATTAAGTAAGCACCGCCCACTGATATTCAAATAATATACACCCCAGAAACATTTTATAAAACTTGCTGATCTAAGTTGGAAAGGCTTGTTGCAATATGAAAAATCAACATAGTTCCCAAGTCAACGCTTTGTTTATCAATGAATTCTGTAAACAGTTGCTAGTTGAGTTGTTATACGTAATATTGTAATATCATTATTATGTACACAGCTTTAAACAGTTATGTGTGTCATTTAGGTTAAATACGTGAAGCGTATAACATCTGTCTTAGGGTTAATGTCCTGAAGTGGTAGCTACCTTTATGAAGTATCACCTGTCGTAGGACAGTTACAGCTACCTCAGGGTTACTGTCATGAAGTATTGGCTACATTAGGAAATATTACTTACTTATCTCAGGATAATTACAGCTACCTTGGGGGTAATACTTCCTAATGTAGCCAATACTTCATGACAGTAATTACTTATCTCAGGATAATTACAGCTACCTTAGGGTTACTGTCATGAAGTATTGGCTACATTAGGAAGTATTACTTGCTTATCTCAGGATAATTACAGCTACCTTAGGGTTACTGTCATGAAGTATTGGCTACATTAGGAAGTATTACTTATCTTCTGGTTAATGCCCGGAAGCAGAAGAAAGGCATCTTGAGGAATGACTAGTTGCCACCTTAAGACATCAGGTTATTAGATCGCAATGTAATTTTAAAGTACTTAAACAACACCTTTAAACGACGAAAGCTGACGAAGTATTGTAAACCAATAGGCCTAAATACTGTGATATAACTCACGTGGACTCGATTTCTTACAGTTTAAACGACGAAAGTTGACGAAGTATTGTAAACCAATAGGCCTAAATACTGTGATATAAATCACGTGGACTCGATTTCTTTTTAGATTCCTCTTAATTTATTGTGTGTGTGTGTAGTCATTGCCCAGGAGGCTTTTCGTTAAATACCAGAACTAGTCAGTTGCGTTGGACGACAGCTGGCGAAGTCTAACGTTTCTGATGTAAGTCACATAGTCTGCAGATCGGTCCCAAATACTATTTCTACCTCTACGTTTTTGGGCACTTCATAGATATATAATACTTTGAAAGTAAAGAAATATATTTCTCATACAATAGCTAACAAAATTATCTAACTATGATCATATGTTGTTTAATATCTCGTGTGTCGTCCTTTATCTTTCAAAAACCGCTTGGATGCATTGTGGAAGACATTCTTCTAATCTCTGTCCAGCACTCACTTTCCCTTTTTACACTGCAACTACAGTTTTCCTGCATTGGCCGTATGTTATCTATCTTCAATAATTTGTCTGCATATACCTTGCTGCACTCATTCCTCCATCAATCTTCCACTCCAATTGCTGAGAGGCAGCCTCAAACTATCCTGTTACTGAACTGGCCTATTTATATTTCTTAATTATTCCTTGGATTGCACATCTAGAAAACCCAGTTTTGCGAGTAGCATCCTGGCTAGACAATGTGTTATGTAAAAACTTCACAGGCTTAGATTAAATAAAAGTTTCTTAAACTTTCTGATTTTAAAATATAAATGTATAAAACGTATGATATATATCAATACCACAGTTTGTTCAATTTCACAGAAATATTTTCCACAAGAAGGTAAATGATCCAGTCCAATAGGTAACTAGGGCGAAAGGATTTTTTCCCCTTGGCCCACGTTGTATCTTTAAACGACAAACACACACATGATGCACGAAGATTTGAAAACCTATATATTAAATAACAATGAACAAAATACATATTATATTATCTAAATTCAAAATGAATACCCCCCAAACATTCTGGAGGGAGCTCATCACCTACTTGCTACACAAACATCTAAGTATTTATAAGTTATTTTCTGAAATTCGTGCAAAGCTGCACAAGGCCTTATTTTGCTAGCCATTTGTCATATTAGACTAACAGACTATTTAGACGGTAGGTAATCTACAAAACCTACTACCAGCTTTTTAGGCTACTCTATTCGAATACTAGTATATGACCTTCACTCTTATAACTCATCCACCTCCCTAGGTGCGGAGCGTATTTTTACGGTAACAGGACGCAAACGCTAGACTTTCAAATTCATAGTTCAGCACGCTAATCACTAAGCCAAGCCCGTCCACATGTAATTAATTTCATTAAAGTCTATTGTACAATGTGATTAAGACTGATAACGCTTTTTTTAGAAGATTAGGTTAACAATAAACATTTACGCCGTATTTTCATGACAAACTGCGAATATTACAGATCGTTTAAAACAGTTACTGTCATTATGAAATATTTCTCTGTCTTTTATAGCATACGTCAAAGGTGAAAACAATGATCCCCTTAAATGTTTGTATAAAATGATTTATTATGTTTAAGTATTAATATTTTACGATGACTCGTTATAATTGTAGGTAGCAGCACTTTAGAGAAAACACGACATGGCTTAAATAGATCACAAAGTATATGCAAAGTACACAACAGAACCAACACTTGGCGACATAGCTTAATACCTGTATGCATAAATACACGACTGACTTAACCGTCGTATACACTGTAGACGAAATTAAACATTATCAGCTAATATCCCCAAGTCATTTAAAAGTATATAAAACAATTAAAAAATAAGTTTCTAGTATAATGTGAAGGATAAACTATAATTTGTTTTATGTTCTCTGCCTTCACTGCTAAAGTTTTCCCAGAAACTTTATATTTTGTCATTTTTAATTCTTACTTTTATCAGTTCTTGACAATTAACTATAGCATGTGACAATAATGACAGCCTACATCAAATAAACGTGTGTATACAATTTATATGAAAGAGTTATGAACATCGTCTAACACGATACTAATTTTCTCCTCAAATGTTTAATAACTCGTAAGTTGCAAAGTTTCTTTTTATGAAACGATGTTCTTTGGCTATAAACTCCACACTCCTTTACCATCCAACTTAACAATTAAACTACTAGTCGAAATTAACATTACACGCCCATTCAAGAAGTGTTAGGACTAGATTGTTATAGAAGATAACATTACACTTCTATTGAAGAAGTGTTAGGACTAGATTGTTATAGAAGATAACATTACACTTCTATTGAAGAAGTGTTAGGACTAGATTGTTATAGAAGATAACATTACACGTCTATTGAAGAAGTGATAGGACTAGATTGATATAGATGATAACATTACACTTCTATTGAAGAAGTGTTAGGACTAGATTGTTATAGATGATAACATTACACGTCTATTGAAGAAGTGATAGGACTAGATTGTTATAGATGATAACATTACACTTCTATTGAAGAAGTGTTAGGACTAGATTGTTATAGATGATAACATTACACTTCTATTGAAGAAGTGTTAGGACTAGATTATTATAGATGATAACATTACACTTCTACTGAAGAACTGTCAAGACTAGATTGTTATAGATGATAACATTACACTTCTATTGAAGAAGTGTTAGGACTAGATTGTTATAGATGATAACATTACACGTCTATTGAAGAAGTGTTAGGACTAGATTGTTATAGATGATAATATTACATTTCTATTGAAGAAGTGTTAGGACTAGATTGTTATAGAAGATAACATTACACTTCTTTTGAAGAAGTGTTAGGACTAGACTGTTATAGATGATAACATTGCACGTCTATTGAAGAAGTGATAGGACTAGATTGTTATAGAAGATAACATTACACTTCTATTGAAGAAGTGTTAGGACTAGACTGTTATAGAAGATAACATTACACTTCTTTTGAAGAAGTGTTAGGACTAGACTGTTATAGATGATAACATTACACTTCTATTGAAGAAGTGTTAGGACTAGATTGTTACAGAAGATAACATTACACTTCTATTGAAGAAGTGTTAGGACTAGATTGTTATAGATGATAACATTACACTTCTATTGAAGAAGTGTTAGGACTAGACTGTTATAGATGATAACATTACATTTCTATTGAAGAAATGTTAGGAGTAGATTGTTATATACGATAACATTACACTTCCACTTAAGAACTGTCAGGACTAGATTGTTATAGAAGATAACATTACACTTTCATTGAAGAAGTGTTAGGACTATATTTTTATACAAAACAACATTGCGATTCAAATAGATGGAGTGTTCGTATTAAATAATTAAAAAAAGTAAAGGCATCACCATAGTCGTGAATAAATGATGTTTTAATGAAACATACAATTGTAATGTTTTTCCTCAATTCTGTAATTAAGGATTTTAACCAAGTAAGTGCGGTTTCAAGTATCAATTATACAAAAAATTACACTTTTAAATAATTGATTCAATAAATTAGTTACAAGCTAAGTGCTTTTTTGTTGTTGGTCGTTGTTTCCATTTTTAGTCATCCTTCAAATACATGGAGTACGAAGAACTTGTACAAAAGTTTTGTTATTTAACATAGTTAAAATATACACGTAGAATTTAATTCCCTAAGTTCACTACTTTCAGGTTTATCTGGGCCGGATTCTTTACAGTAAGTGTCTGTGACTTGTTGGCGATAAATTCGAACAATAAACGGACAGCACACAATCCATTTGTTTTAAAATAATATATTCAAAACAAGTCAAACGTATGTACAAAAATTATTTACACCATAGGAAATCACAGTTGTATCTAAAATGCTAAATAATTATATTTTCTTATCAAAAGTCCACACAGGCTGAATCAATTACATTAGAACCCAACTGACATGACGAATCA